GCACTATGGAGGCGGCGCTTTTACTTCTGAATATGTCTGTCGTCGTTCAGAAGTCAAGTGAGATGGTTATACACCCAGCGTGGAGCCAAACCTCAGCACATTTATGGCTCCTGGAGGTGCTTCTTGACTGAAGTGGTGGCAACTGTGGTTCCTGAGCCAGAGAGCCTTTAAATGCAGACCGACATGGTCAGCCTGGGTCAAAATGCCTGGTGCTGTGCTCATGGGGCGGCTCAGGAGGTGCTCTGCTGTCACACAAAAGGCAAGCTCAGGAGGGCCCTGCCTGGTCAGGGGTGCTTGGAATGCCAAAGAGCATGATGTGAGTCACCTCCCTCCATGCCCCCTTCTCCAGCTCCTAAGCAACTCTGCACGTTCTCCATTTCTGCCCTCCGTTCCCGCTCATCCTGGCACTCAGGCCACAGTAGGCAAAAGGCACCCTGACTGGTACTTGGAGAACAGCAGGTGGGAGGTGGCTGGGAACAGGAGGGGGCTGTGCTGTGGGAGAGTACCACCAAATGAATATGTTCCAAGCGTGAGGTGGGGTCAGCGGACCCCCCAGGCTTTGTCAGGCACACAAGTATTCAGCATGCAGCTCCCTACAATGGCATTTTGTGTGTATAAAGAAACAGCTGGCTAACTCCTCCTCCAGAAAGTACACCCCCAATTTTAGGACTAGTCTTCTTAACTTGCCCACCCCTAGGAGGATGATCCTGAACTTCACACTTCCAAGTCCTTTGATGCGTAACACTGAAATCATGTGGAAAGTGTATTTTCAAGTCTTATTAACCACTAAAACAGGCTTTGTTTTTTAGACTCTTCCTTCCTTTCTTTACCTTCTGCTGTTTTTCTCTTAATTTCTAGCAGAGCCAAAGGTAACAGAGGGACTGACTTGCTGGTTTTCTACCAATATAAACAACCACCGACTCCGGGAAGTTCTGCCTTCTGGTGTGCACAGGATCCGGAGCCAGCAGGGGGCGTGCACCTGGCTATTATTCTTCCATTAGCTCCATACAGCCTCCGGCTACAAAAACAGGCTATTCCTCAGATACAAATGAACCAGACAGCCTTCCAGTCACAATCTCAGGACACGAAGTCAGCTGATCTAGGTATGAATCCATTTCCAGTATCATCTGGCTGCCTAACAGTGGACAAACTACCTCATAAGGATTAAGTAAGATAATGCATAGTGTTGATACATAGAAAAGGTTTAAGAGGTGTTGGCCTTAACTGCTACTGGTACTGTCATTTTAAGAGTGACAGACCTGTGATGACAACAGTGTCTATGAAGTGAGCCAAGGAGTTTCAAGAAACGTTAGCACTAAGGGGGCAGCCCTGGACTGGGGAGCCAGGTCAGGCTCTTGGCTCTTGGTTTTGTTGCTAGGTAGCTAAGCAATCATAGAACAGGCAGATCAGGGTTCAAAGCTGGCTGCTTCAAGCCTCTTCTGCAAGAAGACTATCGAGAGGCCTACCTCAAAGCTGAGCTATGGGTTACACAAACTGACCCGCCCAGTGCCTGGCTACCTCATCTGTTCCTTGTCCACAGTGCCTGCAAGTTCTCCTCTTCTACAGAGTATGCTAACACCTCTTGATTTCCAATGAGCCTAGACTATTGCGAAGAAACAGGAGTGGAAACTGGAAATACACGGACAGGCTGGTCTGAAGCAAAGATTTAGAGACTCCAAACGAAATGTTTAATTTGGTTAAGGCCCTTGAATTACTGGCTACTCTGCTGGTTTCCTTATCAAATTAGTGCACTTAATGTTTTCATGTTAAATTTTAACTACAGTATTTCCAAATATTTTTAAATGTACCAGCTAAGTATTTTAAATGACCTTAACTTTCCTATCACTGGAACAAAAATGTAATAAAATTAATATCCTGGAAGTTACAAAAAGTCTCAAAGCCAAAGAAACCATTCACACGTTGCAGATTTTTCTGCCTAATCTTGATTGTGAAGCACCACTCTGCCTTTCCAGGGACAGCGCCCGCGACTTCACAGGGAACAGTACATGAATGAGGTCACTGGAGAGGATGTGCTTGAGATGTTGTCAAATACTTTAAGTAATTTTAATGCCACCACTTTTCTCTTCTAGCACAAAAGCCACACCTTGGGCCTTCACATCTGCTAAAATCAAAGGTGCCCAATTTCAGTCTGCCTGCCAAACACCTTTTTTTTTTTAAATTGAAAAGGGTAACCTGTAGTCCAGGCTGACCTTGAACTTGCTATGGATCCAAGGATGACCTTGAACTCCTGTACTTCTGCTTCAACCTCCAGGGTGCTTCGATTATCTCTACCCACCGTGCCCTGCTGGCAATCCAATCGAGGGCTTCAGGCATGCTAAGTAAGCACTCTACCAATTGAGCTACATCTTCAAGCACAGCTCTATAAAGAACTGCAGCTCTTTTGCAACTTAATCTCTAGTTACCAGTATGTGTTCAAAAAGTTCCAACTGCTCCAGTTCCCCTATAGAAACAATTATTTTCCCAAGAGGCCAAAGGCTTCAAATCACACCATCCCTTCCCTTCCTTTAAGGCCCCTTTAATTACCTATAGGGACGGTCTATTCTACCCAGCAAGCCTTTTAATGCAAACAGTAACAGGCCAAAACTACTTGAACCATTTAGCTTATATCTGTGCTCTGGTCTGGGACTTAACTAAAACTTACTCGCAAGGCGTGGTGGCGCGGGCCTTATTCCAGGCAGAGGCAGAGGCAGAGGCAGAGAGAGGCAGGCAGATTTCTGTGAGACTGAGGCCAGCCTGGTCTACACAGTGAGTTCCAGTCCAGCTGGGGCTACAGAGAGACCCTGTGTCAAACAAAACAAAACAAAAACAAACTAAAACCATCACTAGCTTCATGTATTGCTAATTATGTTTTAGATCCTTGCTTTCCAGAGTGATGTTCTTTCTTATTCTTTCTGTGCCCAAACCTGTACCTCTCAGCAGAAAGCTCACTTCCTCCTGGAAGCTTACCTTGGCTTAGCTTCACCAGTCCAGGATCCCTGACAGATTTCAGGATCCTTGTCCCCTGGCAGGTATCAAGGGTCACATCCATCTGCCCATCAGGAAATGCCATACTTTATAAGGGCAGAGGCTATGGCTGGCTGGGTAGCTGTAGCCACTCTTCCCTACTGGTCCTTGCACAGAGAATCACACAAAGATTTACGGAATAGAGCAACTGAATCTACCAGTGACTCAAAATGCCAAGGCCAACAAACACCAGGAACACCAGCAATAAGGGGCACCTCTCTTTTCAAAGAAAGCACCTTTTCAATGTGATATAACATTCTGCAGTCTTAAACAGGAAAACCAAATAATCTTGGGCCTTTTCCTTCATGGGCCTTGGCATCCAATGCCTCAGAAATGGCTAGATGCAGAGGGAGACTGACTCACCTCAGATCTATTCAGACCAGATGGGCAATTCAGGGGATCTTCAAAACTGGTTTACAGCAGTCCTAAGAAGACACTATAGGAGAAGTGGACTGGTCCCTCTGCAAGCTAAAAACCTTAAGTTATAAATATGTCTGGGTCTCGGTCTCTTCCTGAAGAAAGCAGAACTTGTACCTTGGGGCACTATGGGAACAGAATGAAATAATCAATAACAAAGCACTCTGCCAACAACCATGAATTACAGGTAGCAGAAGGCCAGGCCAGCTTCAACCAGAAACAACAAGGTGATTGCTCTGTTGTTATCACAATGTCCCTGTGTGGATTTAGCCCCTAACCAGTGGAGAAGAGCAGACCACGTGGCCTCCCTTTTGGTCTCAACAGCCTCACTTTTTGTTACCTTCTTCATTTGTTTTTCATCCTAACTCTGATTTCTGTCATTAGAGTTAATAATTAATAGGCAGACCCTTCATAGGGCCCCACATGGGCTTTTGGTGTATACTCCTGTGACAACTAGTCTAGCAACCAGCCTGGGGTACCTCCTCACCCACCATGGATGCTTCCCACCCAGGTAAACACAGGCTCCGAAAGCCACTTCCAGTGAACACTCAGCATCTTAGTGTGCTCATGGTACTTTCTGTTGCTAACAGATGACATGCTGTGAGCCAGGGGCCCAAACGCTCTGGGTAGCCTCAGAGGTGGTCAGGGAGGAAAGATGTAGGGTGTGGAAAGGAGCTGGTGAGGATCCTAAAAACAAAATCATGATTCCTTCGATTTCTGCCTGGGACTCACCCACACACAGATGCAATGCTCACACTCACAGCCAAAGAGTGGGTGTGAACAAAGGGTACGGGCTTTGTGGGGTGGGGAAGAAGGGAGACTCCCATATGCATGGGAGGACCATGAGATGGTGAGTACAAGATGGGGTGGGTGGAAAAGGAAAAGAAGAAAATTATGAATAGAGTCCAGATGCTGCCTTTCTGATATCTACATGATAATGTGTTACATTCTATGAGAAGCTATCAAAGTACACTGTTCCTGCTCTTAAAGAAGATAAACTTTCTATTTTGAAAAAAAAAAACAAAACAAAACACCAGACTTGGAAAGGCAGTATAATATGATAAATGACTGTTTAGGCCTTGGAGTTTTTGCGAAAGACTTGAATCTTTAATCCATCAGATATTAACTGTAAATAGGGAAGTCACTAAACTGGAGTCATTATCAAACAGTGTCTGTACCCATGTGGTTTCTGTGATGAAATATCCAATTATCTTTTTCTTTTTTTCTTTTTTTTCCTTCACCATACCAGCTACACAAGAAGGCTCAATAAATGGTACCTATTGTTAACTTTTTATTAGACACAAGAGTCTGGTGAGGACTATCCTTCTAGCTGAGGCATTCCCTGGAACCTGTGGTCCAAGCAGCAGTAAACACCCAATTCTGAAGCTGGACCTATCTGCCAACAGTAATGGACCCCCTGGGTGAAAGGTTGCCTGGCTGTCCCAAGTCTGTTTTGATACAGGATATTTCACACAAGCATAAGGGTTGGAAAAGGGCCAGAAGAACTAGACAAGAATGGACGTACATCCGGCGGGCCATGCCCCTCTGGGCATACTCACCGAGTCTGGGTCTCGCTGCTGTTCTAGAAAAGCTGAGAATTCTACCAGGCGAAGCTTGGTTGTGCCAATGGAACGACCCTGCCAGGCAGGAACCGAGGGAGCTGGGGCAGACGCAGGCTCAAACCCTGGAAAAACCAAGCATCACCTTTACACCTGGTCAAGCACCTCCTTCTAGACCTCAGGACAACAATGGCACAGGGCTCTGAACACAGAGGACCTAGCAAAAAAGGCCAAGAGAACTCCCGCCACCGGCATCAAGGAGCAGCAGTCATGACATGGCAGTAACGCTCCAGCTGTCACTCTTGGAGACAGTGACCAGAGGAACAAACTACATGAGGCTCCTCGTGAAGCCAACTTCAACTACGGTTCAGGGCTGTGGTACAAGGACACTCTGTACCTGACTGGATCTGGAATCACCACAGATACACATCTCTGGGTGTGTCTATGAGGGTTAGCTGAAGGGGATGGGGTCCTGAGCTGTATAAAAAGGAGAAAAGAAGCTGAGCATGCATTCATGACTCTACTTTCTATGGCTACAAGGTGACCAGCCACCTCACACTCCTGCACCATGACATCACTGTCATGCTGGGCTGTGCCCTCACACTGAGAACCCAAACAAATCTTTCCTCCTTTACACTGTTTTGTTGGGTATTTTGTCACAGCAACAAATAATCAATATAGACAGCTAATTCTGGATAAAGGAGCCCCGCTGGGGAACAAGTCAATAATGGGCAAAGTGTTCAAGTGAATACCTTCATTTATTTTCATTTTATGTGTATGAGTTTATTGCCTGCATGTATGTAAATGTACCCGTAACATGCAATGCCTGTGAAGGTCAGAAGACAGCATAAGATTCCCCTGGAACTAGAGTTATGGGCAGTTGTTAGCTACTATGTGGGTGCTGGGAATCAAACCAGGGTCCTCTGCCAAGAGCTGCCAGTGCTCTTAACCACTGAGCCATCTCTCCAACCCCCCCCACCCCCCATTATAGAATATTCCTTCAGGATACTCCTTGGAACTAGAGCACAGAGCAACATGGAATAGCATTTTCAGTTTGGGGAATTGAAGGGGTAGAGAAAGGGTTTACCCAACATGCATTTGACAGAAGAGCTTGGGGGGGAGGGGTGTCAGGGAGGGAGGGTGAACCTCCTCTTTGTAAGCTCTTCTTTACATAAAGAGTGCTAGGAACTAAAACATACTACCTAAGAAAGGGTGAGTAAATTATCTGTGCACAACACTCAGATTGCCCAACTTGGTCAGCTTTTGAAGAGAGGAGAACCACAACAACTTCCCCTCCTAAGTGGGACCCAGTGTCTGAAGTGAAAGTGACCAGACTTCCTGTTTCCTGACAAACCCAACAGAAAAGCTCTTGGGGGAAGGGATTCTCAAGAGAAAGGCCCCAGGGCTTGGTGGGAGATGCCTCGGACCTTCCTAAATTCTAGGACAGGTCCCATCTTTTAGAAGGGAATTGTGGGAAGGATAGTCACAATGTTGCTGGTGAGATGAAACATGAGCTTACTCTAAGACCAGCATCACTGCACTCTGAGGGCAAAACAGGCCTGGTGACCCATCACTACCCAGAGGAGGAAAAGCAGGGAGACTCACCTGGGATAGGGGCTGTGACTGCTGGCTGGATGGGGTAGGCCTGCTGCACAAAGGGCTTGACGCTGGGGACAAACAGGTGACAAGGGACAAAAATTATGGATACAGTGATGACTACTGCCCACTGGCCTTGACCTCTACTGGGACCCCACCATCGTCCTGACTCACTGCATGGCTTCTGGTCTTCACTAGGTAACCCACCCCAGACAGAGCTCAATCTACATAAAGGAAGTCTCTCCTCCAAATGTGAGGCCATTCAGCAGGCTGCTGGGGACCAAACTGCTTATCAGTTCTGTGGGGCAAATGGGATGGGCATCAGCTTGACCTCAGGGGTAGCAGCTGTCTCTGGACCCCTCCAGCTCTGAAGAGATAGGTCAGTTATCAATGCCCACAAAGGGTCTGGGACGTACTTCAGGCTCTTCTCCAGACCATATGGCTCAGGGTCTTAATGTAGGTAAAGACAATTTCCAGGGGTTGGGGATTTAGCTCAGTGGTAGAGCGCTTGCCTAGCAAGCGCAAGGCCCTGGGTTCGCTCCTCAACTCCAGAAGAGAAGAAAAAAAAAAAAGAAACAATTTCCTTTTTGCTTTACCCCAAACTGCCCTGTCTCTTGGCTGAGCTTGCCCCCTGGCCACAAGGGCTCTCTAGGTCTTTCTGTTAGGCACTCCCACCACATGGAAAGCCAGGATGGACAGAGGTAGTGGGGTTTGTCTCTGCTGCCTGTTCTCACACACAGGAGACCAGAATGCTGTATTCAAAATCACAACTCAATTCTAGTTTCTGGCTGGGTCACTACTGACACAAGGTAGGAGTATAGTACCTATACCCTTTCTAGCTCTGAAAGGAGAGTCCCTTTCTAGATCTGGCTTCAAGTGGACATGGGGAAGAACAGCTTGAGGAAATCTCCATTTAGCATTCCTTTCTTCCCCGAAGTCCTGAGACAGCCCAGTGCAGGAGAACTCCCCCAAGGTGGGCCGTGTCCAGCCCCTGCTGTCAGGGCCCCAGACTTACTCTTGTGAGGATCCTGGCTGTCCTGTCTGTATCATTCCAGGCCAGAACTAGAAGGCAAAAGGCAAAGGCTTCAGAGTTATAACTTCCCATTCATAGCACAATTTGGGTTGTGTACAAAATATAACAGTTGCTGAGGACAGCAGGCTCCACATACCAGACAGCTGGGACATTATCTTCCCCCAGTGCAGGTATGGTCACTGCTGTATATAAGACCACAGCCTACCCTGACCTGGCCACCAGGGGCTCCTTTAGCCCCTACGTCCTGAGGCCAGCAGTGGCTTGCCCTCCTTTCACTCTCAAGTGTTTCCTGCATAACCACAGTAGAGCAGTAATGGCACACCAGACATGGAAATAAGGAGCCAGAAGCACGAAGTATCTTTAGGCATTGTCTTTCGCTGTCAGCATACAGAAGGCCCCTGGCACCTCCTGTTTCCCCAGGGGGGGGGAGGGGGAGGGGGAGGGAGAAAGCAGAAGCAGCCCTGGGCCTAAATCTTGACATTACTACCCTAAGTTGTCCGCACTGGTGCCTTGCTGCTAAGTAGCCTCAGCCTTCTGATCTGCCAACAGCAATGACACTGCACAGGATTGAGGATGTCCCTGGGGGTGGAATGAGATGCAATGTAAGGCTTCTCAGCCCTTGGTAGGTGTCCAAATGAAAATACTAAAAGAATGCTTTGCCCCTGTGGGGACTGGTTGCCATAAAGTAACCCTGAAGACACAGGAACAGAGACCAAGAATCAGGATAAAGATAGAGCAATGGAGGCAAGTCATTAACTAAAAGGGACACAAAAACTGTTTAATTTCACAATTTTCCTCTCCCTCTCCCTCTCATTTCTCCCTTTTTCCTTTCTACTCCCCTTTTCTCCTCCACATTCTCTAGCCTAGTCTCTCTTCCCCTTTCCATCCATCCATCCATCCATCCATCCATCCATCCATCCATCCATCCATCATTTTTGTGATACTGTGGTTATTCCAACATACTACCACATCCTCAGCTCTTTTTCATTTTTGTTTTACAGAGGGTCTTATAAAGTTGCCAGGGTGGTCCTGAACTTGCTATGTAGAACAGGGCAGGCTTCAGATTTGGGACCCTCCTACATGAGCCTCCCGAGTGGCTGTATTTACACGTCTGCAAGGTGTAATACCCAAGGTGGCCATCATCCATCATTCCTGGATGTGGGTCCTAACTTACCCCCGGTGCCCCTGGAAAGGTGGGGCGTGGGATCCCAGGCAGCCCCAGCTTGTTGTGGATGGCAGTGGCCGAGACGATCTGAGCTGACGACATGGCGGCCATGTGCTGCAGGGCCTTGTCCTTGGCAGTCTGATCCTTGAAGGTGAAGTGACACACTGACTTAATACAGAACACATGGCTACCAGGTGGGTTCAACAGGCACAGCCACGAGCACGAGGACTAAAATACAGAGCCACAAGAGAGGCCAGGAAGCACACATGCACAGACAGAGAAATCAACACGGCCAGAAGGCTGCGACTCTGGCCTGTGGAACTCGGGTTGCTAGTAGTTAGCAACACCCAATGGCAAGGTTGGGTTTTAAAATCTTAATCCATTTTCCAACAGATAGGAAGCCTCTGAGAAGAGCAGACAATGTATTTACTGTTTCAGTTCCCAGGGAGAGTCTCAATGACTTAATACACTGAAGGTGAGAACAGACCTGCTTTCATGTGAAAGGTGACTACGGGAGGGGCAAGACCATCCACATAGGGCAGAGAGCCCTTCTGTGTGTCTGCTGTCACTGGGCCACAGTCCCAGGCGCTGCTGGGTCATGTGAGGCTCAGGAGCCCTGGCAGACACCTGCAGGGAGAGGCTCAGAAGCAGCGGACAAGCAGGGGACAGCCAAGCAGCATGCTGGCGGGGCACATGCTATGGGGCTGAGGTTATAGTGGTTTCTTTACTAAAGCTGAGGAGATGGGGGTTGCTTGTCTTTCCTCTTTTAAATGGGTCTTTTCTACAAAGCCAAGACTGGTAACATAAAGCTAGCCAAAAAAAAAAAGGCTGCCAAGCACAGCTAAAATACAGAATACTTGGTTTAGAGAATATACTTACCATGCTTGTTACCTGGATACAATAATAAACAGTTTGTTAAAAGGATTGTATACAAAAGCAGGGTTTTCTTTATCAGTTATAAAAAAATACATATGGATATCAATACAACATTCAGGTACCACAAATGCATAGGACCGTGGCGGTTTTCCACATTTTAGGATCATACCATCAGATAGATAGATAGCCAGAAAAAAAGATAGCCATAAAAGGCACCCAACCACCAGGAACAGAATTCATCCCAACTCTTCTAAGCTGGCTCTGTGGTATTCCCAGTACAGATAGGGCAGTGCTCAAACCTTTGTGTGGCAGGCCCAGAGGCCACCAGAGCAGGAACAATATGGCAACACCAAAATAAACTCTGGTACCTTCCTCAGCTGCCACTCAAGAGTTTATAGTGAAGGGCAGTCAAAGAGAGCTGTGGGCTAAGACACTAAGTGCTGGCCAGGAGGAGGTTCCCACATTTACAGAGCTAACCAAAGGCAAGATATAAACAGGCCAAAGAGACTTTTAAAAAACTGGGCTGGTTGGGTGTGGCAGCGCATGCCTCTAAACCCAGCACTCTGGAGGCAGAGGCAAGGCAGATCTCTGTGAGATCAAGGCCAGCCTAGCCTATATAGGTAAGAGTTCTAGGTCAGTTGAGGCTACAGGGAAACCCTACTTCCAAAAAACCAAAGGGCTACAAAACAATTTGAGAATTCTAACAAGAACCCATCTGAGTCTCCAAAGTATGGGTGCTACTTTGCCCCAGAACAAGGACCCCATGTGAAAATTTCCAAAAACTGATTTGAGAGAATGAAAGGGGGGGGGGAGCAGCAGGTGGGGGAGGGTTGAAGAAGCTAAACCTGCATTTTTGCATTTCTCTGGTTTACAACTGAAGCGTTAACAAGGCCTGTACTAGCTGTCTAAGCTGCACACGGTCACTGTGAACACCTGCCATGTCACAAACTGCAAATGAAGGACACCACGAGGGCCCAGGAAAGCTTGCTGGATTACTGGGCTCAGCAGGAACAACATGGGGTGACTCAGAGTATCGCTCAGTAGCACCTCATCAGCTGGCACTCTTCCAGGCCAGTCTTCAACAATGGCTAACCAGCCAAGCACTCTAACCTGAAGCCAGTTTCCTCAGGTAATTTTTTTAAAAAAGATGTGAAACACTGAAGATATTGTAGATGGGAGGGGGGGTGTCTTGAAGGAGATGGGATTTTATGACAGAATCGCAGGGAGCATTCATGTACCCTAAAATAAGGCTGAACCTAACATACCCAGGTTGTTGGTGCCTGTCAAGTCAATTTGGTGGTCATGTGGCTTCACCTGGCCCCACCTGGCCCTTCAGAGGGGAACCTGTGGGCTCTAGTCCTGGTAAAGAAGTCTGATATCAATACAAGCTTAATACAAGCTTAATAGGCCCCTCACTTTATACTCTAGCCCTGAAGCCACTTAACCCCTAATGAGGGGCTTTGCTCTTAGGCAATTTCTGAACCTGAGGTCATTGCGGAGGAATGGCCACAGGTGCCTTCCCCAAGCCTTACAACTTCTCTGGGGCCCCAGCTAAGGTGGGCTGGAAAACAGCAGCCCAAACTTCTTGGCTGCCTGACCAGTATGAATTCTGAACAGCAATCACAGAGCACTGGAGGACTTGGCTGGACACCAGAAGAAGGTCAAGCAACCTCTCCCAGACCTGCGAGTTGTGTTTATGAGACTCTTGGAGACAGGGGAGGGTCTGTAGGTCCCAGGGTGGAATCTGTTTGATGCGCTTGAGTGGGGCAATTTGCTAATCCAAATCCAGGTCCAGATGGAACTAGCTCTTTAATCTCCAAGACCCATTTGCTCTTAAGGTTCTCTTGAAACATTCCCCTTTGCTAGGTACGTTAAAAAAAGTTCTTTAAAACAATCACAAAGTTTAATAATCTCATTAAAACTTTTTAATGTGCACTGGGGGTCAGGGACAACTTGTAGGAGTGAGTTCTCTTCTTCCACCATGAGGGTCCCTGGGATCAAACTCAGCTCATCAGGCTTGGCAGCAAGTGGCTCTGCCTACTGAGCCATCTTATCTACCCCGTTCTCTCTTTGTTCAAACATGAAAACAGGAGCGGGAAGGAGAAAATAAACCATCTTTGCTGCTTTTGTTGCACAACTTCCGAATAAGGTGTCTCTCATCTGTTAAAGACGGAATCGTTTTTCTTTCCTTTTTATTCTTTTTTTTTTGGGGGGGGGGGTCTTTTTGAGACAGGGTCTCCCTGTAACCCCAGCTACTCTGGATTCACTAATGGAGACCAGGCTGGCCTCAAACTCAATGGAGATCTGCTTGCCTCTGCCTCTGCCTCCCGAGTGCTGGGATTAAAGGCATGCACTGCCACGCCCGGCCCTTTCTTTTTCAAAACAGTCCTAGCTGGCCTCAAACTCACAGAGATCCACCTGCCTCTGCTTCTTCAGTGCTGAGACCAAAGGTGTGACTGACCCTCCCACTCCACCAAGTACTCAAATCCAACAGGAGTTCAAAGGAGGAGAACAAACCCACCGCCTCAGTAGTGCTTTGTGGCAGGAGCCCACACCTTGCTGTCTGGAGTTTGGGTGCCTGGCTTCCATTTGGACCATGCTTGAATGACCTTGGGAAAGTCATTTCACATGCTTTAATTTCTTCACTTACAAAAACTTGCACTTTAATTTCTTACATCCTTCTGGTTCTATTATAAAAGTCTGTATTATGCAGGTGGTGAGTTCCGTTATAAACAATACGCCATAATATATAAGGCCAATGAAGAAACTACTGCTGGGAAGAGAACAGTTTCTTAAAATCTAGCACCTCTTAGCTGCTTGATCTGACGGAGCGGCAGCCGACTGTGGGGATGGAAATCTTATCTCAAGTAGCAGCTCCTGCACTTGACCCACCTATTTGAAAATAGGCAATTTTCTGTAAATGGACGAAAATATCTACAACAGCGATTTCCTACCTTTTGCAACAGAACTACCCTATTCATTTAATTTCACAGCATCACCTCTTCATCTACAACATACATGTGAAAATTAAAAAGATTTTTTTTTTTTTGTCTAAAATCTAGAGTCACCCTGGAGACAGTAGTAAGTGCCAGCAGGGACATGTGAAAATCAGGGCAGGAGCGCAGCCACAGAGCCTCTTACCCTGAGACAGGAGTTCAGAAGAGGCTTTCTCAATTGTCATTTGCAGCCCCAAGACATGGGCCTAGCTTTAGAAAAATTACAGCCCCAAGGGTCAAACCTGAGTCAACTGCTCATCTATCACTCAGAGCGAACATCCTGGCATTTTATGCACTGCACTCTCCCCCTGAGTGAAGTCTAAGAACATGCAAAAATGTGAGCAATACCTGCATACCTAATTAATTTGACTCTAAGATGTACTCACCCCTTTCAACAATTCTGAGACAGGGCTGAGGTTTACAAAGGAGAGTCAATATTGAGTTATACTCCACCATGTCTCAGATCCCAGAGAGAGAGAGAGAGAGAGAGAAGTGGGAGCTTTAAAGTAGTTGAGCTGTGTCTACATTCGGATCACGTTAGATGTCCCCGCTCCCCTCCATGTCCCTGGGTGCACAGATACACTACAGGACTCTGCTCACATAGAAATCACTCAGCGCTGTGATCACACAGTCACAGGTCCACTATTAAACTCCAAATCCACAGCTATACTGTATCTGCCTCTGTGTGTGTGTGTGTGTGTGTGTGTGTGTGTGTGTGTGTGTGCATACAGGAGCACATGACCAGGAGAAGGGGAAAAAAAAAACCTCCCAGGAAAAAAACCTGAACGAGTTTACACTCCCTCCTCTATAGTGGTTCTATGTCCCCCTCTCTCCCTAAAAAGGTGGGTTCACAAAGGGTTAAATGCTCAGGGACTCAGCATCTAAGTCTCCCTTGTCCACTGGAACCTGTTTTTCAGCCCACCACTGGCAATCAGCTAACGCTGGAGGGAGCAGTAACCACAGGTCTCCACACTGCCGGATGGGAAGGGGAGATGGGTACAAAGTACAAATGGCCCAACAAAGATTGAGGGAGGCAAAGTCTGGACTCCAGGTGCCTGTCTCACTGCCCATCCTCTCCTTGCTATCCAATTCCTGCCACACTACACCGTGGATGGCCTCACTTCCCCTGCCGCGAAGTCCGCCAGGCTGTGTCATGCATCGACTCCTGATCCCCAGGCTTTTCAAACTGCTATTGTTACTAAGTAAACGGGCTTTCATATTTCATGAAGCAGAGCTGCAGCTCCGTTCAGCTCACTGCCCTTCATGATTGAAGTGGACACAACGTTCGGGGGGATGGAAATGCCACAAGGGCACTTGGCGGGGGCAGGGTGCTTTTAAACTCCAGAACACAGTGCAGACCTGACTTCGGTTACCACCTGAGTCTCACCCTTTGCTTTCCCAGCACCCAGTTTGGCAAAATAAATGCTGTCATATTCTCTAGGCGATATCCACTTTACAGGTAATATGAAAGACCTCATGCTTCCATATATAATGCATCAGAGCTGCTATATGATATTAACAACATATTATAGATGGTATATGTATAATATGCATTTTTTAAAGTTCTTTTAAAACTTTTCTATTTTATGTGCATGAGTGTTTTGCCTGCATTTAAGTGCACTTGTGTGGTGTAATGTCCACAGAAGACAGAAGAGGACATCAGATTCCCTGGAACTCGAGTTATGGACAGTTGTTAGCTGTCATGTGGGTGTTGGAAACCAAACCTGGGTCCTCTGCAAGAGCAGCCAGTGCTCCTAACCACTGAGCCATCTCTCCAGCCCCTATAATATATATTCTAATATATAATAAATATATACACAATGTATAATGTGACATCTTCCATTATTCATGAACTATCATCTCAGAATTTAAAGACTCCAACCTAATCTATTCAGATGCGTGTACTGGCAATACACTAGGGGGAAAAAAATCTGTAAAATCAAGAGACCACATATTCAAACACTCTTGCCAGCTATAAAATATATTCTTTCAAATACACTTTTTCCCAGCAACATAAAA